GAAATGTTCGGTTATTTTAAAGTTATGTATTTTTATGTATTTTCTGGTTTTATATTTAAGATGGCGATTGTCTTTGTCCTGGAGATAATTGAATTACTTCTCAATTATCTCCAGGGCAGAGGGGAGGAAACCATAGTGCATTGTGGGTAAAAGCTGTGACTGTACGTCTGGAATGTCCCCATGTCTATCTGTCATTACAGTCTCCCATTTGGCCCCCTAGGGGAGTGTCCACCAAGTGGGAGACCTGCATAAATACGGCCAGGTAGCTCACAGTAAAGCCAGATCCTGTTTGACCCTCAATGCGGAGCTTCTGTCTGGTTATTGGGGGGATTTATTATTTGCGTTTAGAGACTGCTGTTTGGAACCGAAAGCCGCTTGGTGGATATCGTTGTTCGGCGGCTAGCAGCAGTTTGTGGAGTTCCGTTCGGGAGGTTGGAGCCTTTCACGGATCCTGGTCGGGAGATTACCGCTTCCCCTGGTTATGGTTCATGTATTACACATTGATGCGAATGGATTACTGATATTGCGAAAGGGGAAGGTGAACTAAACGGCGGTTTCCCTTAAAGACACCAGGGGTGTGTTTTAACAATAAGGATCCTTAGACAGCTCCTGATAAGATCTGGGCTTGGGAGCTTTGTGGCGGCAAAGCAGTGGACTGTGCCCTACTTATATGATTAGCAGTCAACTACACTTTCGGCCATCTGCAAGGAACTGAGGAGACAATGTGAGACAGTCTTCATGATGTGGCCGGCTAGCAGTGTTGGGTGACTCCTAGTGGCTTAACTAGCCACAGCAAAAATGTAATTATTTGTTTTCTCTGTTATGGTCAAAGTGATTTATTATTTATTTGTATGTTGACCTTGATTCCCAGTGGTATTAATGTTCAATCTGGATAGTTTTACCGTTAGTACATCTTACTTAAACATCCACCTAGACATAGAAACATAGACATAGAATGTGACGGCAGATAAGAACCATTCGGCCCATCTAGTCTGCCCAATTTTTAAAAATACTCTCATTAGTCCCTGGCTTTATCTTATAGTTAGGATAGACTTATGCATATCCCACGCATGCTTAAACTCCTTTACTGTGTTAACCTCTACCACTTCAGCTGGAAGGCTATTCCATGCATCCACTACCCTCTCAGTAAAGTAATACTTCCGGATATTATTTTTAAACCTTTGCCCCTCTAATTTAAGACTATGTCCTCTTGTTGTGGTAGTTTTTTATTCTTTTAAATATAGTCTCCTCCTTTACTGTGTTGATTCCCTTTATATATTTAAATGTTTCTATCATTTCCCCCCTGTCTCGCCTTTCCTCCAAGCTATACATGTTAAGTTCCTTTAACCTTTCCTTGTAAGTTTTATCCTGCAATCCATAAACCTGTTTACTAGCCCTTCTCTGAACTCGCTCTACAGTATCAATATCCTTCTGGAGATACAGTCTCCAGTACTGCGTACAATACTCCAAGTGAGGTCTCACCCGTGTTCTGAACACTGGCATGAGCACTTCCCTCTTTCTACTGCTAATACCTCTCCCTATACAACCAAGCATTCTGCTACCATTTCCTGCTGCTCTATTACATTGTCATTTGTTTAAATATACATAGGGATTAAGGAGAGAGCACAGGTAACTTGTTTTTCTTTGGTTTTTACTATATATATTGGGGCTGATGTGTATTGTAGTCGTTGTTGCCGCCCAGGAATGATGGGAGTGAGCGCAGGACTTATCTTTGTGTATTTCTATTACATTGTCTGCCTACCTTTAAGTCATCAGAAATAATCACCCCCTAAATCCCTTTCCTCAGATGTTGGGGTTAGGACTCTATCAAATATTCTGTACTCTGTCCTTGGGTTTTTACATCCAAGATGCATTATCTTGCACTTATCCACATTAAATGTCAGTTGCCACAACTCTGACCCTTTTTCTAGTTTACCTAAATCATTTGCCATTTGGCTTATCCCTCCTGGAACATCAACCCTGTTACATATCGTTAGTATAATCAGCAAAAAGACATACCTTACCGTCAAGACCTTCTGCAATATCACTAATAAAAATATTAACGAGAATGGGTCCAAGTACAGATCCCTGAGGTACCCCACTGGTGACAAGTCCATGCTTCAAATATACTCAGTTGACTACAACCCTCTGTTGCCTGTCACTCAGCCACTGCCTTATCCATTAACCTGGGGTTTGAAACTAGGAAAGGGAGGAGAGGGGGGAGGGTGTCCCGGCAGTTATTTTTTCTAGCCCGCACTTCTTGCCTTTGTCAGTTTGGATTCCTTGAGTGACCTCCACTAGAGCCTGATCGTCAGGCTACTCAGCTCTCGTCTCAGTAAGTGTCTGGGTGTCTAGTTTTTTATTGTTTAATTTAATTTAATTTTTGTTTTGTTTGTTGTGGTGCTCATCCCATCTGTCCCATGCTTCTCTCCAGAATCTAAGTGAGGGTCTATAAGATCTGGCCGTGATTTCATACCTTTTTGTGCTGTCTATTTGTGAGATGCCGGAGCTGATAGTTGGGGGAGTTTTTTGTAACCAAGTTTTACTTATGGAAAAAAGCACAGCGGCGGTGAAGTGGTATATCAGGTACCTCTCACTTTTCGTGAACTGTGTTGGTATATATTGCAGGAGATAGTGTTCTGGGTTGCGTTGCAGGGTCTTTCCCGTCACTGTTTGTATCAATGTTTGAGTGTCTGACCATAGAGAGTCCAGGGTGGTGCAGGTCCACCACATGTGGATCACGGTGCCTGGGGACTCTTTACATCTCCAGCATGCCCCGGAAAGTGCCGGTTTCATGTGCTTCAGCCGTGTGGGTACTAGGTACCAGCGATACAATATTTTTCTCACTGTTTCTAGATGTGATGTGCTTAGCGTGAGCTTTCTATTTGCATAAATGATTTGTGCCCATTTCTGCTTCCCAGGCTTACACAAAAGTGAGGCTGTGTAGGTTTAGTGTAGAATAGTGTTGATTATATACCGTGGAGAGTATTTTCTGTGGTTTAGTTTTTTGAGTGCACACTTTTTCTAGTTCTGATACATTGTCTACCTTTTCCCTTGAGGGAAGAATGGGTTTATTTTTCCCTAACCACAAGCAGATTTGTCTATATGTGAAGTCTGTGGAGTTGTGTAGGTTGTATGTGCTTTGTAGTTTTTTGAATGGGATTAGTATCCCTTTGTCGAGTATTTGGTAGAGGAGTGTCAGCCCCGGTGTTCGCAAAGTGCTGATGTTCAGGGAAGGTATTAAAGTTGTAAAGGAGTAGAGTAGTAGTGCTGGGGAGAGTGTCATATCTGAGTTGCATGTACTGTGGTGCCTGTGCCACTCTTTCAGTGTCATGGCTGTGTGGCATGTTTTTTTGTTGTTTCCTATATTGAGGTAACACCCAGGCTGTGGATGTAATATTATTGAACTCTGCTTGATCTGCCTCTATGACCGTTCATGGCGCTGGTGTGGTGCCGCGACCAGTGGACTTATGATGGCAGGCCTGTAGTAGTTAAGGAGGTTTGGTAGACCCATTGTTTGTAGGGGAGATACATGGTACTTGCTGCTATCTTCATTTTTTTGGACGCCCAAATGAATGTGTTGAGAAGCCGCTGGGCTTCTTGTAAGAACTTATTTGGTAGAGTTATCTGCAAAGTGCAGAACAAGTATTGGAGTTTAGGCAGTATTAGCATTTTTACTGTGGCAATTCTCCCCATTCACTTTATGCATTTCCCTTTCCAGCTAAGCAGCTGTTGTTTTATGGTGTTAAGTGTTCTTGTGTAATTATCCTGGCATAAACTGTGTGCCTGTTTCGTGAATTTTATACCCAGGAAGGTGAGGTTGTCGTGTCTCCAGTCATAGTTATGTGTCTGTTGCAGTTTTTTAAATAGTTGTTGGGTTGTGTGGAGACACATCGCCTGCGTCTTTGTGCTGTTTAACTTGTAGTACAAGCAGTTGCTATACCGTTTTAAAAGGTCGTGTACGGCTGGTATGGAGTTTGTCGGGTCGGATAGCATGACATCATCCGTGAACATAGTCTACTTGTATTCTTTATTTTTAATGTTAATTCCTTTAATCAATAGGAATGGCCTGTGCTAACGGTTCCAGGGCCTGTATGTAAAGGATAGGGGACAGCGGGCATCCTTGGCGTGTGCCATTCGTAATGTGGAAGGAGTTAGACACAAATACACTATTCAATACTTGGGCCGAGGGTTGAATAGTGTATTAAGTTTAGGAATTTGGAGGGGAAATCAAATTTTTGCAGGACAGCACTGAGAAAGCTCCAGTGTAGCCTGTCAAAAGCCTTCTCAGCATCCAGAGACATTAAGACTTTTGGCTGTTCAGAGTACCCCCAGCCATGGAATAAGCTATATAGTTTCCTTGTGCAGTCTGCTCCCTGCCTTCCTGACATGAATCCCACTTGGTCAGGGATGAGAGCTGCTGCTCTGGTGGAGTATATTTTTGTTTCAGTATTTAGGAGTGATATTGGCCTCAAGTTTTGGGGTTGATTGGGCTGTTTTCCCGGGTTTTGGTAGAGTGGCGATATGTGCTAGCAGCATTTTAGCGGGCATGGCGCTTGATGTTACTATGTGGTTCAGCGTGTGGACAAGGTGTGGCCCTAGTACGTGAAGGAAAATTTTGTAGTAGTTATTAGTAAATCCGTAGGGTCCTGGCGATTTTCCCTGTGGCAGTGAAAGGATCATCTGTGACAATTCTTTCATAGTAATTGGGCTTGTTAAGGAGTCCTTTTGTGTCTGCGTTAATGATTTTAAATTTATTTGTGCAAGAAAGTGTTGTGTTTCGGTATGGGATGGTTGGTGTGTTTGTATCATCTTTTAAATTGTACAGTTTGTTATAAAAGTTAGCTATTTCTGCGATTATTTCTTGAGAGTTGTAGGTTTTCCCTCCAGTACGGTTAATTAGATAAGGGTTTTTTGATTGGGCTTGTTTTTGTCGTAATAATGATGCTAGGGTCTTGCTGGCTCTGTTGCCTCAAGTGTAGTGTCTTTGTTTTAATTTTTGGAGATTGTGGACCATTTTGTGGAGCATCAAATCATTGATTTGGGTGGTTACTTTTTGTATTTCCGATTGTAATGTTGTATCTGGGTGTAGAAAATGGGCGGTGGTGAGATCTCGTAGCCTTGTCAGTAGCATTAGGTATGCTTTTTGCATGTTGCATTTAATGTAAGCTGCTCTGCTGATGAGCAGTCCCCTAATTACTTTTGTGGGCTTGCCAAGTAGTGGTGGGTGGGAGCACAGTGTCGGTATTCATCTGGAAATAACTCCCAGCTGGCAGTGTTCCACTGCTGGTAGCATATCTTGCGACATCAGGATATTTATTCTAGAGTGTGTTTTATGAACTAAGGAATAGCCCTGTGTGCGTGGATGTTGTGTGCGCCATATATCATATAGGCCATACTCTGATACTAGTTTGGTGATAGCTTTACATTGTGGTGCTAGGGTTTTAAATCTGGGTGCAGTGCTGGGTACTATCGTGGGTGTAGGACGTGGTTTAAATCTCCACAAATTATGAGAGAGGTCATGTGTCAGGTTTCAAAACTGACATGTAAGACTTTTTTGTTTATTACTGGCCTTTTAAGTGAACTTCTTGATTTTCTCTTCTAGTGGCCTCCCTAGCCACTAATCTATTCACTCGCCTTAATAAACTCACCTGGATTAACTAATTAGGAGGCTTGATAAGTCTACTCCAAGCACACAACAGTGCCTTGACATTGAAGTCTTTGCCCTGATAAAGAATCTCTGTTCCTGGTAATATCCTGTATTTTATCTACATGATTTCATTCTGTAGAGAACTTACCTGCAGTGCCTCATCCTGTACTCATTTGCAGTTCCTCATACTGAAAGGCACCAGCCTGCATTACTTCATCTTGAACTTGCCTGAAAGACTTTCCCTATCAGCTTCCAAGAATCCTGATTTGTGGCGTATTGCCTTCATTGAAGAATCTTAACTGCTTCAATTGCTCCATCAGTGAATGATCTTGTAAACAACCTGCATTATATTATTTTGGAATATACCTACCTGTTTCAACCTCTGCAACTCTGCATGAACCTGTATTGCTTTATCCTAAAAGGTATTTACCTATAACTAGCTGCATTGCAAAGTATCCTGGAAATCCTTAACTACTTGGTATAACTTCAAGCCTGCTTGTATACCAAAGACTTTATTCATTTAATTTCTAAAGATCTTGTTTATGGCATATCACCTAAACCCTGTTTTGTTTTGTTTTTCTCACAAAGTATCCTGTTTGTGGCAGACTGCCCTTTATTCTTTTTTTTCAGTAAATTTGTTATGTCTAATACGACAAAGTTTTAACCAATAACCGTTGTAATTGTCTTCTCTCTGACCTGCTCAGGAGCATGACAGAATGTCAAGGCCTAAAAAATGGAGACTACAGGGTTAACTGATGTTCTATCTACAATTGCTGAAAGCCTCTTAGAACTGTGCAAGACTGTTTCATTGTTCCTACAATCAAGCTCTTGTATAAAACCAAAGAAAACTAAGACCGTCATTCCTTCCATAAAAAGCAAGAAAAGAGAACCTCTTACTAAAATTGAAATAGATAAAAGACGGCAAAACGACTCCTGCTTCTATTGTGGAGAGAAAGGGCACAGAATCACAGAATGCCCAATAAGACCTCCTAAACCTGCTGTGGTCACTGAAACCAAGAAAAGGGCTACAGAAAGAAGCACTCCTCCCTGCAAGGGTTCCGTCCCTCTACTTTTCCCAAAATTTGCTTTTTTCTCAATTTATGGGTTTCGTCGCTCTGAAGTTGCAGGTGCTAAAAGGATTTCTCTTCCTAAGGGTTCCGTCCCTCTACTTTTCCCCAAATATCTCCTTTTTTTCTCAGTGTATGGGTTTCATCCTTCTGAAATTTGAGCAGATGATTAACCCCTTAAGGACTGGACTGTTTTTGCGATGTTGTACATTTGCGACCAGGCATATTTTTACACTTTTGTGGTGTTTAGCTGTAATTTTCCGCTCTCTCATTTATTGTCCCCATACAAATTATATATTGTTTTTTTTCAGGACAAAAAGGGACTTTCTTTACATACCATTATTTATATAATCTCATGTAATTTAATTTTAAAAAAATAAAAAAATATGATGAAAATTTTAAAAAATACATGTTTTTTGACTTTTACTTGAAAATTGTTTTACTCATCTACAAAAGCGAATGAAAAAAACTGCTAAATAGATTAAAAAAGATTTTGTCCTGAGTTTAAAATTACCCAGTGTTTACATGCTTTTTTGCAAGTTATAGGGCTATAGGTACAAGTAGGATATTGCGGTTTCAAAACATACATTTTTAAGATTTATCAATAGTGACATTGTAACACTATTATCTGTCATAAATCTCTGAATAACACCCCACATGTACATATTTTTTTTAAAGTAGACAACCCAGGGTATTCAATATGGGGTATGTCCAGTCTTTTTTAGTAGCCACTTAGTCGAAAACACTGGCCAAAGTAAGCATTCATATTTGTTTGTGTGTGAAAAAAGTAAAAAAACTAAATTGAACGCTAATTTTGGCCAGTGTTTGTGACCAAGTGGTTACTAAAAAAGACTGGACATACCCCATTTGCAATACCTTGGGTTGTCTTCTTTTGCAAATGGTATGCCATCATGGGGGTAATTCTCATTCCTGGGCTACCATACGCTCTCAAAGGCAACGTAACAAACCTGGCCATTTTCAATGTAAAAATATTTGACCCATATATTTGACCCTGTAAGTTTCAAAAACGCTATAAAACCTGTACATGGGGGGATACTGTTATACTCAGGGGACTTTGC